ATGCTCAGTATGATGCAAGTCACAGCCAAGATTGAATTCAGCCAATAAACCCTTAGCAGCTTCTTCCTGCAATGATAAATATGCAACTTAATTGAAGTTAATTGAATGCACTATGGGAGATGCATACAAAAAACAATCTTTTGAGTACCTTTACTCCTTTCTATGCCACTCAACCTGCCAATGTGATGCCCCTATTCAAGGAGGTAGTGAGACAAAGCTGGAAACTGTAGGTCATTTGCCTAACATTGTTGGGAAAATACTAAGGGTTCATAATGAAGGAAGAAATAGTGAGATGTTTAGAAAAGTTTAATGTAATCAAACAGGAGTTAACGTGAAAGGGAAAATGCGTTTGACAAATTTGCAAAAGCACTTTGAGGGTATTACAAGCAGATTTGATAAAGGGGAAGTGATTGGTAGATTTTCAGAAGACATTCGATAAAATGCCACATAAAAGGTTATTGCACAAGATAGGAACTCACGGTTTTGGGGTAAATGTAAATGGATTTAGGATTGGTTAGCCCACAAAAGACAGAGTAAGATTAATGGGCCTTTTCTGGTTGGAAAGACTAATAGAGTAAGACACGGATGAGACCCAGGACTTGAATTATTTGCTATCTATATTAATGACTTGAAGGAGGGGGACAGAATGTAATGTATCCAAGTTTACTGATGATACAAAAACATGTTGCAGTGACAACATAAGGAATTGGCACAGGGATGTAGATAGGTTGCTTGAATGGACAAAAACATGGCAGATGAGATTTAATAAAGGAAAGTGTGAGGGCATGCACTTTGCTCGGGGGAATCAAATGTCAGACTATTACTCAAATAGAGAGAGACTCGGAGTGCAGAACAGAGTGATCTGGGTGTTCTTGTGCACAAAAAGAAAAATTAGCATGCAGGTAAAGCAAGAAATTAAGAAGAAAAACGGAAGTTTGGACCTTATTGCTAGTGGCTTGGGGGTTTAAAAGTAGAGGTCCTGTTACAAATTTACAAATTCGGTGAGGCTGCATCAGGAGCGCAGTGTACCGTTTTGGACCCTGCATTTAAGAAAGGACGTACTCACATTTGAGGCTGTTTAATATACAACATTTTGAGGGGGCTTGACAAGATGGATGTTCAGAAGATGTTTCCACTTGTGGCAGAATCTCAAACACAGGGACAGAGTTACAGTGGTCACTCATTTAAAACTAAGAAGCAAAGGAATTTCTTCTCCCAGAGGGTGGTGAATAACTGGAATTTTTCTGTCCTAGATAGTTGCAGAGGCTAGACCACAAAGTATTTAAAGAGGGGTTAGATAAACTTTTGAATTACGAGAACTTGGCACAAAAGAGGATTTGAGGCCTGGGGTGAATCAGCTGTGTACCTGCAGAATGATGGGGTAGGGTCGAGGAGACAAACGTACTATTCCTGCTCCAATTTCACGTTATGATCATATAAAACATCCAGAAATCATTCCCCCATCTTTCCTTACAAAAGAAACCTAAAGTTAAAAAAAATCCTTTACGATGTTATGAATAAAATTTATGCTCCAAGGTGAAGGACGTCACTGCTGAGAAAGAAACAATTTTCCAATCTTTGCAGGTAGCATCAATATCAGCCACTTCCCACGTGATGTTCAGAGTAAAGTTTGCCCAACTACGTTTTTGTTTAAAAAGGTTGTCAAAGGTGATTTTTGTTTTAAAAAATTCTCTATTTTTAAAAACTCAGTTTCTACATTAAAAATTCTGCTCATAATTGTTGTCAACACTTCTGTAATAAATTTCTATGTTGACATTTATACTGAAAAGTGCCCATGTAAACTTGTTATACCCTCTTGCTAATGATGATATTGTGGTGCTTCTGTTTTGCATCTTCCAACAAGCTGTCTACAGTCAGTACTGAGGGCTCGGACAGTTTTACCAGTTCTGCCCAAGAACAAAAACAGAAATTGCTAGAAAAGCTCAGCAGATCTGGCAGTATCTGTGAAGAAAAATCAGAGCTAATACTTTGGGTCTGGTGACCCTTGCTCAGAACCAGTTCTGCTGCTTGCTTGCTTTCTGAACTGCCACACACATTACAATTTAATTATATCAACAGTGGCTAGACTTCAATAATGTACGGCATTAGACATAAAAGCAATCTGGGATCTCCTGAGGTCATAAAGAGTGTTACATAAATGAAAGTTATATCCATCAAAGCGCAAGTCAAGGTGTTTTGGAAGGAGGACAGAATGTCTGACTATAAAATGAGGCTCATTTTATGCCTACATTAGACTAGGACATGATTTAACCTTGCTTGATCTGAAGATCTTCACTGGTCTTCAGTTCCTGTGTGTAATGCAACAGGATTTCGACCAGCCGCATATGAAGTGTCAGCTGTGTGACCATTTAACCTTCATTACATAATGTCTCCCTCCAATGTTGTCTGTCAGACAGTTCAAGCTTTGTGCTGAATTAATTCAGCAAATACCCAAGTCTGACTCTGGGCAAAACCTTGAATTGGAATATTTCTATCTATAGACAACTAGTTCAAAACAACAGCAAAGGACTGTTGGCTACAACAGCTCAGGCAGTAGTTCTTATCACATCTGGCAAAAATTGAGAGCCATTATAAACAACATGCTTATAGCTCAACAGACCACAAATTTTGTTCTGTTTTTGCCAAGAACAAGTGTGTACATAGCAATCCTATCATTGAAGGAAACCTTAGCCCAAAATAGCTGGTTCTTCTTCAGCTAGTTGTCAGGGAGAAAAATGGAGCCATTATCTAGGGTAAGGAGACAGAAATAGAAATTGCTGGAAAAGCTCAGCATCCACAGTTCTTTCGGTTTTTATCTATGGAACTGAGCTTGGAGGCAGGGACTGGAGACTATCTTCCCAATGTTTAGTTGGAGGATTTTTCTGCTTGTCCATTACTGAATATCGGCCGGGCTATTGGACAATTTGGAGTCAAATATGTCAAAGGATACAACGATAAGACAGAACTGTGTGTCTTCAGCATGCACCAACTATTCTGGATGACGGTTCTAAGTGGAACCATGTAAACGAGAAACAGGAAGGAGCCAAGGATAAAATACAGGTGGGCGCAAGGGAGAACACCATCAGATGTAATATAGTGGGAACAGGAGGAGAAGTCATTGCAAGTGATTTTCTAGTAATGACCAACATTCCCTCTTATTTTTCTCATTGCTTGCAGCCTCTGAAGTCAGCACACAGCTATGGCTTCCATAAGTAGACACCATGCATCAGTTCATCAATAAATGTGCACAGAGGTTCACAATGGCTGATTGAGGGAACATTAGTTATGAGGGAATGAAGCCAGTCAACTGCAAGAGGAGGGGGATGGGTGGCCGAGGAGGACGTTGAGAGGTGTGGGTGAGGTGGAGACGAGGGGTGGAGGAGAAGGAGTAGAGACGTATAGATGGACATGGAGAATGGTTGGCGAGGAGGCTACACCGGATGGGTAAGGGAATAGGCGAAAAACAGAAAGAAAAGAACATCAATAAACCTGACCCTGTCCTTCACCTGATATCAGTACAGCAAGGGTCACTGGGCTGACTGTTGGTGCTTTGCTTTGCTTTTCATCCCCAGAACTGGGAGAAGATTGAGTAAATTAGGGGCCGTCATGATGACACAGTGGTTAGCAATGCTGGCTCACAGCAGCAGGGACCCGGGTTCGAGTCCAGCCTTGGCGACTGTCTGTGTGGAGTTTGCGTGTTCTCCCCACGTCTGTGTGGGTTTCTTCCTGGTACTCCAGTTTCGTCCCACTATCCAAGGATTTGCAGGTTAGGTGGATTGGCCATGGGAATGCAGCGTTACAGGGATAGGGTAGGGCTGGGTCTGGGCGGGTAGCTCTTCAGAGGGTTAGTGTGGACTTGATGGGCCGAATGGCCTGCTTCCACGTTGTAGGGAACGTATGCTCTACTCTAAATTGCAATGAACTGTTGTTCAACATCATTTTGTGCCCAGTAATTAGCCCAGGGAAGATGAGCTAATTGCTAAACGTTTCTGTTATGTTCTTCTCTTACCATTTAAGTCGTAGAAGATTACCATGACAGATCTCGAAGTCAGAAGTGAAACGCACTGCTTAAATCAGAACTCTCTCTGTTGTAATAGTCCCTCATAGCAGCAGTAGAAAACTCAATATTACTTTAGCACTGAACCCCTGAATTGTAGATTTGATCCTAATGAGTCCCATGCCAGGAAGAGCATTAAGCCCGTAGCATAAGTAAGCAGCTTAATTGGTTTCCAGTGTGTTCTCTTTAACAGACAGAGATAATTTACCATTTTTTAAAAAACCTTTTCTGGATGTCGACTGGAGCATTTTGTATTGAAAACAGTTGCTTGCCACAGTACTTGTGCCCTATGACAACAATCTGTTGTTATTAAAGAGACACATTTTTGAAATGTATTTTCAATGGGTTG